AAAATCTGGAGCAGCTGTGCATGGCAATCAATCAACATCTCTCTTCAGTTTATTCAGTTAAGATTTGAAAATGAAAGCGAAATGCTGATTGGTTGCCATGCACAGCTGCTCCAGATTTTGTCTGCTCCAATTTTGATAAATTCCCCCCACTATATCTCTATACATGCAGAGATGCAACAAAATAAATATGGTATATTTTTTGGCATTATTTATGTGAAACATTTCAAACTAGTAATGATTATGTTTTTTTATAAAGTGCAATTCTTTACAGAGTGTTCATAATCTCATATGAAAATGTGCCACCATTTGTTGAGTTCTGCTTTACGCAAGACCAAAACAGCATTCTAGAGTTTTCCAATGATCATTTCTTAGTTCTACCACATCTACTGTGAAATGCATCAGCACTATCTATGCCTACCACTAGAAACAGTATATATCTACAGCTACACACAACACATGTATGCTTTCGGTGTTTAGGGCTTGTTTACACCATAGACAGTGCGTTCCAGAGCGGCTGCATCCCGGCCAGCTTCCTGTGTGGTGGCACATTGAAGTGAATGGCAGCACAGCAAAGCCCCCCAACCGCAGTGCGATTGTCCACACCAGAGCGCGTGGCAAAACAGTGCCTGTGCTCCAGTCCAGTGCGATCTGAAAAAATGCTGCAAGCACTATTTTTTCAGATCGCACTGGACCAGAATGCAGGCTTTGTTTTGCCACGTATTCTGGTGCGGCCGATCGCACTGCAGGCAGTGGGTGTGGCTGCGGTGCCATTGACTTCAATGCACCATCACACCCCCTCCCGCCCCTAAAAGGAGGAAGCTGGCTAGGTTGCGATAGAGTGTGATCCAGCAGCTGACCCCTCTGTAATGCACTGTTTATGGTGTAAACAAGCCCTTAGACTGAGTGCCAAAAAAACTGAGGCCAAAGTGCTTCCCACCATGAGCTGTGAACTACATCAGCACCATATGTTGCAGATCCTGACCATTTTGTGCCCAAATTTGCATCACCCAAGGCTACCACCTCTTCTGCCTAGCTATTGGCCCAATTCTGGCTGTCTGTTATCCTGACTCACTGTTTTGTTACTGCATGAGACACTGACACAGAACACATATGCAAGCCAGGGAGGGCAGAGAAAGTCATAAATCCTTATCTCTATCCTTGTGGGTCAGTACTCAAAAAATTAAAGTAGGAAGGGGACATGATACACAGGGAACAACCATATACAGAAGGAAGGTTCAGCAATGGCAGCATCAAAGGGTCACTGAGAGTCATGAAACTGTTGTCATATTTCTATCACTGCACAAAAAAAAAAATAATGCAGCAGGGGCACATTTTAAAAAATTTGAAATGTGAAAAGCAGAATATACTGAACCCATGATAATGGCATCTAAAATGAACTTGATCATTACAGATTCATTATGTTAAAGTTGCGGCACAACTGCAGAGAGTAATTATATGTATTGAGTCTTCCTACCTGGACATCCTCCATCTTGATGGCTCTCCTACCCCTCATTCCCCTGCAGCTATAACATGCATAACATTGTCATTAAATAACGAACTGACAGATATCTATGAACTGAATATGCATAGTAATTCTATCAATACTTAATTGCCAAATTCTATTACTGTCTCTAGAAACAAGTACGAAGGAAGCCTTTGTGGTGATGGGCCCCATAGCAATCACTTGGCCTGCTATGGCTAAAGTACCACCCATCCTTCTCATTTTTACTTTCTCTCTAGTTCATAGCACAACTTCTTATAAAATGTCAAGGATATCAGAAAGAAACCCTGAAACGTTCATTATATCAGTTACATAAGTTATATAAGTAACAAGTATATGTATTTTATTAAATAAACTTCTTCTAGCAGTAGAGTGTTCTTTAGTGTTAGCCATGAGTAGGAGTAGAAAAGTAAAAACAATACCTTTCGTTTCACACGACTTTCATCCAGAATTCATACATTTTTCTCATTGAATTCCATTCGAAAATGTGTGAATACTGGGTGAAAAAAGAATAAATAGACCCTTCAGTGTTTTCAGAAGCTTGCACCTCAAAATATAGAAAGGTATCACCTACCTTTTTTACTTTGCCATAAATTAGTTTTTTCCGCAATTTCAGCTTAGCTTTGCCATGTGTTATTTCTTGGTGTTATGTGGTGACTCTGGCCTTTTATAAAGTGCTGATTTGGTCTTGTAATTATACATACTGTGTGTGTGAGAATTAGTGTATGTCATATTCATGCATTTGTATATATACTATTTACACCAAACATATCATTTGTAACCAGTATGTTTTGCTAAAATGAGCATGAAAAAAAAAGTCCGTTCCTAATGGTAAGTCAAAGTGCAAAACATATTAGGTAACAATGGTATATTCTTGTATTTATTTGTTTGCTTTTTTCTGTGTCTTACTGTAGTTATATTGTCAGTCTCAGAACTCAGCAATGGTACACAGTTTTATATGATTTTATTCAAATTTTATTTTTATTATGTAAATTTCTCTGTACCGAGAGGCAAACAAAAATATATTATATATGGTATATGTATTTTCAAACAATAAAACTCCTTGTTGTTACTAAAACATCCATATGAGTGTTGGTTATATATGTAATACAACACATTCTCTACATATGCTCACTTTGAGGATATGCCTAAACTGTCATCTTTAATTATTTTGTATTCTGCATATTAAACTAGTTGCAAGCAAAGCATTGGTGAGCCAGCAGTGAGCCATTTTAAGCTATTTAAAGTAAATCTCCTGTCTACGATTGCTATTAAGTGCTTTACACCCCTAAAGACTTGCCACATTCTCCTGTTTTAATAATGTAATGCAAAGAACACCAATGTGCTGTACAATAAAGAATATAGAGTTCAGATTTGATACATCCAAGGTGAAGGTAATTACCACTGATCCTATATTTATATGGTTTCTACTGGCTATTGCGGCTACAAGCATAGATGTTTGCCAGCAGAAGCCCCATTGTGTGTCAACCAAAAATTGATTTTATAGTAATACCTACATATGCATTTAATTAGAACACCAGTATATGAATATTATGTTCCAGAAACACTCCATCCCCACAAAAATCCACTTCAGGCAACCAAGCCTTTGAAAAAAACTTCAGTGTGTCAAATCTTTTATCTAAAGGAAGTGCTTTAGAAAACCACCACAACACCCTAAGAGGGTAACTTGCTATCATGAATGGTTCTTAAAGATATGAATGTTAGCAAAGCAGGGCCTTATTTGATGACAGTTATAGATTATATACTTTACTAACCTTCATATCTATGTTGAAGTGCATGACCAACTGTGATTTGCTCTTAAAGAAGTAGCGTGGCCAGGCTATGGGCATTCAAATATTTACATATTCCTGACAAAAAATCTTTCACTGACCTCTATAGTTTCAGGCATCCTCAAATTTACAGCAGAAAGGACTTTTACTTTCTTTTCCGAAGCCTCCCAGCCTTCTAATCACAAAGCAGGTGCACTAGAAGGGGGGCAGACACCCAACTTTTTTTATGAACGTTGAGGGAAAAACTGCTCCACAGCTCCAAGTTGGGGCCTATTTTAAAGTCTACATACTGTTTGTTAAGAACATTCAAATACTTGAATTCCCAAGCCCGATCATAGTTCTACTTTAAGGAGTTGTGGTGGGTCTTTATTTGTCTGAGTACTTTCTTTGATAGAACATTTGTTGCTTTGTGATGGTGTGTGTGGATATATTGGTGGATTGCTGCTAGACTACTATTTGATGAAGGATAGATTTTTGCATTTACAGATTAGGACATTTTTGTTTCCATTATTGATGAAGGTTTTCTTCAAAGTTAGCACACAAATTATCTGGTGCATTCACTTGCCTATGCATTGTACAGCATTGGTATCTGCGTTGTGTTCTAAATAACCCTGAATCATACACTTTTTACACCTCATAGTTTATGTGATGCTTCAAAATATGGTTAGTTAGTTAATGATATGTCCTTGCTTTAGAGAAAACCTATGGGTACCTCAAAGGGCATAAACCAAGTACAGCAGGTGCTAGCTGAGAGCATTTATTGTCCACGCATAATAATAACAATGCCCCCTCTGGTGTCACTTGACAACCAGCTGTTGGTTGTGGCCCACGCATTACACTGTAGGCTGGGTGCAAGGGGCATGCGTTCATCCCACTACCAGGAAGTGGAGGAATCTAAGATAAAGCACTGGCTGGCGCTGCTATAAAACAAAATGTATGAGCTGACAGCGAATGTCATCTAAAATAGCAGCTCTTAGGGTTAATTGTGAGATATGTACATTATTGCTTTATGATAAACTCCCAGTCCAAAATGCAAAAGGCAAAAGAGTTCAGTACTGTTTGTACCTATGTCCTCTTAGTTTAACTGACAGGTAACCAGATGAACATAGCTAGGTGTGGCTGCATTCCATCTAAACTGTGTATATGACACATAAAGGTGGTGTGTTTTACCTGTTCAGTAGAAACAAACAGAGGGAGGTAAAGCCTTGTACCACCTTATTACACACATTTACAAAGAACAAATTTGACATGGTTTGTATATTTATCTCATTTCTACATTTAACTTAAGGGCTATTTATTGTTCAAATTTTGTACATGGCATTATTAGATATTTGTACATTACATTATTTATGATTGCAGAGACATTCATGTTTATCCTTACTGGCTTAGTTTATTAGGCTACATTTATATTTATCACACAAAAATAGACATGGGTGTTCTTACCATGAAGACCTGAGAGGTCACAGTTTGAAAGACAAGTTGGGGAGCACAGATCTCAGGGTGGTCTTAAGGGTAATGCAAATGAAGCTACCTACAGATTAGGGGGCAATCAGATGTAAGGTCACAATCTAAAGACGATCCAACCATTGAAAGATCTTTTCAAAAATATGCATATCCAATGGGCCAAACGTGCGTGGAGGAGACCATTACTTGGCATCCACAGTGCTGGTTTATCTTAGAGGAAAACGATAGTGATCAGTAGGGCTGAGTTAGTGTCGGTGGTTCTCACAAGGGAGCATACGCTGAGTTAGCTTAGACCTCAATATCTTAGTCTTCATTTCATTTAAATTGTAACGACCAATGATGGGAAGGAAGCAGGAAAGCATTACTGTTATAATGGCCATCATGTATCCCCAGCCAAGGAAACAGCTTCCACTTTTGTAGGCATACGATGAGTTACAAATCTGATTTGCAAGTGGAGAACGAAGACTCAAAGGGAACAGTATAAGACCAAGGACAGTACCAGCAACTGCAAAAGGTAAACAAAGATAACATTGCATGTCAAACGAATCTAAGGTACATTTGCTTTATTCTACACCAACATGCAATCATTTCAAATACGCTCAACTTATGTCTGTTACTTTAATTAGCTGTGTTAACTATGTAAACATATAACCATAAATGTGTACATTGTGTATTAGGCAAAACGCTACTAGGTGACCTATAGGTGTCCAGGGGTTTTCCATCTAGTTCTGACTTCCTCCTGTATTAGGACAGGGTAGGTCCTTCCTTTATGCAGGATTATGAGGGATCCTCTTCATCCGTTGTTTACATTATTCAGCTGAGTAAAATCTGACCATTCAGATGTGAAAACATTCACAAAGTGATATTATATATGAATAGTTGCACTATAGTGCTAGGTGGCTGGTAGTGATGTATTGATCCCCCCAAAAAATAATTCCTGGTCAGTATTGTTTATTATAACTCTACCTTCTTCATGTCCTAAATAAAATAATAAATTACGATTGCTTTCCATACAATTTAAGTAAATCAATTGTTGGTGTTCAGTACCTGCAGTGAGCTGTGTGTATCTAGCTGGAGTACACACCCTTCTTTGACATATCCCTGCAGGTATGATAGTCCATGACAAAACAAGTAACGCTCCAAAACTCATCAGCAGCCAACCAGAAAAGAGTATCACAGCTGCAATCTAAAATAACAAGATGAACTGAATTACAAATGGGTTCTCACATTGAAAGAACATCAGAGACTATCATATGAAAACATCATTTTTTTTTATACTGAGGAAAAGTTTAAGTGTATGGTATTATACTGGAAAATGTATTAGGCTTTGCAGCTGACTGAATACTGACATAGCAGTTGGATGCGGAGGATTTGATCTGTCAATGGGGTCTATTCACAAAGCTGCCGAAGGATCTGGCCGTAGCTTCAGCCGATCCTTCGGCTAGCTTCGGCCCCAGGACACCTTCGGTTCACGAGAACCAAAGGGGTGCTGTATGGGCTATTCACAATAGCCCGTACAGCTCCCGATCACGGCCGAGCGGCTCAGTCGAGCCGATCGCATATGCCTCGGCTCGGCTGAG